GGGCAGAGCATGCGTCCCAGCCCTGGGTCTCTCTGCAGTGAGAATCTGTCATTTCATCTCCGGAGGGCTCAGCATCCTCACCTGTCTAAATGTATTTGGAAAAGATTCTCTTTTAGTCCTCTCCAGGCTGTTAAAAAAGTGATGAAAGAAGACAGTTCAGGTGATATAGACTTTAGCACTTCTTGAAGTGGGCCATTCAGTCTCCAGAGAACTGCAAAACTGCAGAAGGCAGGAAGCTTTGATGGGATAAAGAATAAAGAACAATGAAGAGAAAAACATAATATCTGATTGGCCAGGGTCACTTTGCCCAGGGTGAGAAGAAAGAAGGAAGGAGGTATAGAGCCCAGAGTTAGTTTGGCATTGGATGCCTGGCTGACTGGATAGACTGCATTTCTGTTAAGCAGAACATTTACAGGCACAGGAAGTTATCTAAGTTTCCATGGTGATGCAACATCACAGACAGGAGTGGCTTCATTTTGGGATTGGCAAGCTATTTCAACAAATCCCTGAACAAACACTTTGGGAGGGGTGGGCACCACAGCTTATGGTCTGCCGGCTGTCGGCTCATGTAGGCTTCCCTCCTCTAGAGAACCTGGCTAACCAGGCCGACAGGGACCAGTATGAGCTGCTCTGCAGAGAAAACACCCGGATGCCTGTGGACGCGTACAAGGGGTGCCATCTGGCCCGGGTCCCTTCCCATGCCGTCGTGGCCCGAAGTGTGGATGGCAAAGAAGACTTGATCTGGGAGCTTCTCAATCAGGCTCAGGTATCCCTGCCCCCTGTCTTCCCCTCCTGCATAGGGGTCCCTGCTTGGATTTGGGGTGCTTTCCCTCACTCTCTTCCAGCCACTGTGAAGTCCTGGTGTTGGGCACAGTGGGAACCACACCACATGTCCTCCGCTTCACTGACCAGAACTTGGTCTGGATATGTGATGGGCAGCAGTGACCATAAAACTCCCTTCCTTGGCATCACCAACACCATGGGCCAAAGACTCTGCAGAAGGCCACTGTTGCCCCATTTTATTCTTCTAGGTTGTATAGGGATCCTCAAGCTGCATTGCAGATGCCCCTTTTCCAGGAGCTGCTCCCCTCTCATCCCACTGGCCTGGACCCCTCAGCAGCAGGTTCTGACTGTGAGCATTTAGTGTCCTGTGCTGTAGGCCCTGCCTCCCAGCGCACCCACATCTGTCACCTGTCCCATCTCTGTTAGTGCCCTGCGCTCAGCACTAGGCATTCAGAGATGACCTGGACACAGACCTGCCATGGGATCACTCACAGATGACTGTGAAAGACACAGCGAGCATGCTGTATACAAAAATCACCGCCATGGGGCACAGCCTTGCATGAACTGTGTACTTTGAAGAGAGTGATTTGCAGGCTGTATCTGGAAAGGTTTCTGGGCCCCAAGAGTAAGCTGTGGACACTCCAAGGAGATGTGGGGTTTGCCAGAGAAGGCAGTATGCAGAGCTATTGCCAAAGCAAAAAGGAGACATTGCAAAGAGCATGTGGGTAGGTGCTACTGTCAGCTACCATCAGGAGCAGCTTTGGGCCAGTCAGTGGGGTTACAAGCAAAGGCCTCTTGGTTTTCTGGGAGGGCCAGAAAGAGTAAGGGACTGCTTGAAGTCCTTCATGGCAGGCCTGGGGCGTCAGGTGCGCCTAAGACTCATGACCCCCAGGCTAGATGGTCCTGAATCAACACCCACTCCAGGATGAAGCCCACAGGAGCCACTCAGGACAATCAGATGTCCAGCAACAAGGTCACCATCACTGGCTGCCCCACCCATGGGAACAGAGCATAGGAGATGGAAGCTTCCTGACCCATGGTGACCATTACCCTTTGTACAGACCTGGGGGACAGCCCCTGGCAGTTTCCCTGAGGCTGCACAAGGCAGACAAATTGGGATTTGAGTGAAGTGTTTGCTGAAGAAGATTTGAGAACCCTGTAAGCCACAGGGACTTTGGAGGGTCTTGCCCTGGTCTTCACTCTCAGGCATTCGTATTTCTCTCCCTTTCTATTCCCCTGAGTTGGGGATTTGTTTTTACTTTACTTCTCTCTGCCAGCCTCCATCCTTTACTATTTCTTTTATCCCTTGAACAGGAACACTTTGGAAGAGACAAGTCAGCAGAATTCCAACTCTTCTACTCTCCTCATGGGAAAGACCTGCTATTTACAGATGCCACCACTGGGTTTTTAAGAGTCCCACCTAAGATGGATGCCAAGCTTTACTTGGGATATGAGTATTTCTCGGTTATTCAGCATCTGGGGAGAGGTGTGTAAGGTCCTGGGGAGGCCTGGAGAGCTTGGGCATAGGGAAGGGCGGGGCCGTGGAGGTTTTCCTGGGGCCTGCAAGCCCCACCTCACCCAACCCACACTGGCCTGCGGGGTTCAAGGGAGGGCCAACTGCGCTGGGTTCTCGTGGGGATGTTCTGCTGAACTTGGGAAAAGGCCTGAACCTGGGGCCACAAAAGGTTTGAAAGACCTTCAGATTACACGTAACTTAAGTAATGAAGGGGGCTTCGCTCATAGCTCAGTTGGTAAAGAATCTGCCTGCAATGTAGGAGATCCCGGTTTGATTCCTGGATTGGGGAGATCCTCTGAAGAAGGGTTAGGCTACCTACTCAAATATTCTTGGGCTTCCTTTGTGGCTCAGCTGGTAAAGAATCTACCTGCAATGTGGTAGACCTGGGTTCAATCCCCGGGTTGGGAAGATCCCCTGGAGAAGGGAAAGCTACCCACTCCAGTATTCTGGCCTGGAGAATTCCATGGACTGTATAGAGTCAGACACGATTGAGTGACTTTCATATTTAAGTAAGGAGAGTCCTGTCTCCATTATGTTAGCCAGGCTTGCCCCACCCNGCCCTGTTCATGGTCTTATTCAATAAATTAATTGAACGGGGGCACATGACAGTCTGTCTTCTTTGAGGATGGAGAATACATGTGTGATGTCCCCACAGAACAAGCGTATGTGCTTGCTAAGTCACTTCATTCGTGTCTGGCTTTTTGTGACTCCCATGGACTATATAACCTGCCAGGCTCCTCTGCTCAAGGAATTTTCCAGGCAAGAATACTGGAGTGGGTTGCCATTTCCTTCTCCCGGGGATCTTCCTGACCCAGGGATCGAATCTGCATCTCCTGCATTCGCAGGCAGATTCTTTACCTCTGAGCTGCCTGGGAAGCCTCCCACAGAACAAGAACAGCTACATGTTCATGTTATTGGCAAAGCAGAAAATATGTCTGTAGATCCAACATCTGTTTAAATAACCACTTCCATTAGCATTGGTGCTGAGGATCTCTTTCTGTTTCTGCCTGCCTTTAAGTGCTGCTGCAGAAAAGCTAGAGGGTAAAGCAGAACAAGAGGGCGCAGCCATGACGTGAAGTATCATCGAGGACGCGGGACTGCCTTTGCCCAGAGCTGCCTTCCGAGGCTCTTTGGTGAGATATTTACAGATGCGGTGTTTCTACCAATCTCCTCCCTCCTTCCCCTCTTTGTTCCTTTAATGAGCGAGTTAGCCTTAGGTTCTTGTTAAATCTCTTCTTTTTGGGAAGAGAACAGAGGTGTCTGTCATTACAGCTGGAGACTCCCAGGAGAAAGGTAGCCGGAGAAGAGTGTCCCCTCTCCGGGGTCCTTTCTCCTTGGGTGGCGGTGTCGCCAGCTGCTGGGATGTCCTGCCCTCTCTTGGCCTCCTTCCGAGTGCGGGCGGGTGAGCAGACAGGAGGAAAATCCTCGGAACCGTCCCAGGGTCCACCTAGTTCTCCTCGGGCAGGGAGACCTCCCTTCCCTGTTGGAGGTGAGAAGGAGCTTAGTGACCAGATACTCCATGCTTTTCATTTCGCGGGTGGGTAAACTGAGGCCCTTTGATGCTCGGGGAACTGTTGTTGCTGTTTTTGTAATTGTCTTTGTTTTTGTCTTTGCTGGAACCTCATTGACGTCTGGCTTTTCTCTGGCTGTGTGATTGGGGGCTACTCCCTGGTTACGGCACACACATTTCTCATCGCAGTGGCTTCTCTCGGGGAGCACGGTCTCCAGGGCGCACGGGCTTCAGGAGTTGTGGCCAGGGATGGAGCCCATGTCTCCTGCATTGGTGGGCAGATTCTTTACCACTGAGCCGTCAGGGAAGCCCTCTGTGAATTGTTTAAGACAGCACACGGAGTAGGAGTGAGTGGTAGAGGAATTTCAGGCCTGCTGGGCACTTTTGAGGAGGAAGATGCTGGGGAGATGAGGGCATCTTTTAGGGGCTGGGAGGGGCCTTGAGATAAGAGAGCTGTGCTCCTTGCTTCTTGAAGTATATAGTTAATGGACCAGAAGCTGGCATCACCTGGAGCTTGTTAGACAGGCAGCATCTCAGTCTCTACCCCAGACCTACTGACTCAGAACCCACATTGCCACACGATCCCAGGTGATTTCTGTGCATGGTGAAATATGGGAAGTGCTGAGGCCACAAACTCAAACTGGGATGATTGGGCAGCTCACAGCTGCATAATTTCAGCAAATGTCATAGTTGCCTCTGAAAAAGATGCTCTTATAAACAACATTTTTAACTGAGGTAGGTACATTAAAATTTAAAAATATGGGGACTTCCCTGGCAGTCCAGTGTTTAAAATTTTGCCTTCAAGTGCCGGTTCGATTCCTGGTTTGGGAGCTAAGATCCCACATGCCTCAGGGCCAAAAAACCATACATAAAAAGGATGCACCATTGTATTAACAAATTCAATGAAAACTTTTAAAATGGTCTACATAAAATAATCTTAAAAAAAATAAAAGTATGAAATGCAAAGAGTAAGAACGATGCTCTAAATCAAACATGGGGAAATGGTGATATTTAACGGTACAACTTTTCTGTAGGGCAATTTGGTGATAGGTATCAATGTCTTAAAAAAAGATGCTGAACTCTTTAAAAAAATTTATTGAAGTATAGTTGGTTTACAATGTGTGAGTTTCTTCTGTACAGCAGAGTGACTCAGATATACATATGTATACATTCTTTTTCATAATTTCTATTATGGTTTATCATGATATTAATATAGTTCCCTGTGCTATACAGTAGGACCTTGTCCATCCATTCTGTGTGTAATAGTTTGCACCTGCTGATCTGGAACTCCTACTCCATCCCTCCCCCATCCTTCCTCCCCCTCAGCTGTCCTTAAACACTGCAGGTACCTAAAGATGAAATTTCTGTGGTAATGTGGTGGTGGAGACTGTTCCTTTAAAACCACTTCCTGCATGTATAGTTTCAGCCACCAGCTCCAGTGTTCTGTTCCCGTTGTAGCTGACAGTCTTAGGAAGAGGCTGTGGGGAGTAGCTCAGCTCCACACTGATGAACTGCCTTAGAAACCTGACCCCTCAAGGTCCTGAGCAAGCCAGACTCTCTCCTTTAAAACACAGACTTGTATTTAATATGCTTAATTACTACTGCAAACTCCACATGCAGATCTGGAAGAACCTAGAAGGTGATATTGGCCAGTATTTTCCCCCTTTTAAGTAGAGGACCAATGAACAAGATTTTTTTAAGTGTTTTTAATGTGCGTAAACAATGAATGAGTCAGTATGAAGTGACTAGGAGTCCCCTTCCTGTGTCCAAGCCATTAGTTGGTTAGGGTTTCATTTTGTTCTTTCTTTTTAGGGGTAAAGATGACCTTTTGAACCTACAAAATTTTTAAGTTGTAACAACTTGATGTCCTACTTTTTCCTTCTCACTAATGTCATTGTGATCATGTTCTTATTCCTTGAGACAACTTATGAAACAGCGAGGTAATTTAAAATTGCCTTTCATGTTGAAAAGTTTGAAACTGAGAATCCCGTGATATTTAAAATATAGATTGAAATAACTGCCGCATAAGAGTCTCTTTTTAAAATTTTAGTTTTTAAGTTCTTAATTAAAACAACTTGTTGTAACATATTTCCTGTGTTTACTAAAAGCAATAATAGAATATTAAGTAACACCGGAATACTTCTGCTGGACTGAGGTGAATGAGACTAGGAATCTGTCCTTTTTCTTCCTTTTAAAACCTAAAAGACTGCTCTATTTATGAGGTGTCAAAATGCTTGTACTCCCCCACTGCCAGAAAATTCCCAAGTACCTATATACATTTTAAAGTCTACTAAAAGTAAAATAGGGTATAGTTTATCTGAATTGCTTATAATATAGTAAGCACACATTTGTGGTACTTTTATGAAATAGCTTTGTCATTGATTCATCAGATGTAGATTACTAGTAATTTGAAAGCTTTGAACACTTTGGTGAGCAAGTACTAACATTTCCTTTGATGAAGTTTGTGTCCAGCACGGCCTCGGCACCCAAGGGCCCCCTTTCTGTTGTGTATTTTAGCTATCTGAGTTTGCATGACCCAGCTGGAATGCACAACACAAGGGTGGCTTTTGGGTGCTGGGGCTGTGCTGAACATGAACTTTATCAGCGGAAATGTTAGTGCTTGCTCATCAAAGTGTTCAAATGTATTACTGGCAAAGAGGAAGAGGGGCCAAGCATATGTTAGAAGTGAAAACAACTGTCTTGTTGACTGCTTCAGTGAAAAATAGCTTAGTGGGCAGTTTTACATTTCACTGGACTAGATAAAAAATGGTGCTAATATTTATACAGTCTGATTCTGTAGTTGGTTTGGGATCAAACTGCCAAAGCCTGACTCATGGGTCCTTACCATAGTCTTGTGATCAGTTAAATAGCATTTAAAAAGTGATCCTAAAAGTGTGACCATGTATAATATTTGAAATGGATTTTGTGCAGTAGGCTGAATAGGGAGCTGTCCACTTAGTACCAAATTCTGTGAGAGGAGCCATGTCCAGGGCTCAGGCCCAGGCTTCCTCCCAGCCTGGAAAGCCGCTCCTTCATTATTCATTTCCATTTTGAAAGTCAGGACACCTGCGTGATACACTAGAGGCCTCCTTTTGGATTTCTGTATAATTAGCAGAACTGTTTTTAAGAGCTGTCCCCCTGTGTTGCTGGGTATGTATTTTGAGCACTGCACTCACTTAACATTCTGAAGGTCCTAAGGCTGGGCACCCACAGTCACAGCGCTCAGGCGGTGGGAACTCACAGCTGTGTTTTCTAAGAACTGTGTTGCTTTTAGCTTGTATTTAATATTGCAGTTACTTGGAAAAATGTGAATAAAGTTCATTAATACTAAAAAAAAAAATTATTACATGCTGGAAGAGAAATGAAAAATAATATCATTTACAACTTCACAACTCAAAACTTATTATAATTTTTGAGTGATGGTGTTATGTTGTTAATAACTGTCCATTTTAATTTTGGAGATTAGAAAAAAAATTATCAATACAAGATGGAAAAATTGACAAATTTAGGAAACACTACAGTTTTTCTTCAAAAGATCATAATTGTGGTAAACCTCTCTAGGACTAACCCATAATACTAAGGTCTTGCAATTTATATAGTCTCCGAATTTGTCAGTTATAAGGATTAAATGAATTTGAGTGCTTGTAACATTGCCTAGTGTGTAATAAGCAGTCAATAAATTTTAACAGTTATTATTTCAATTCTTGAGCACAATTGGCACACTTTCTTAGGTAATGAAACACTCATTTTAAATGTTTTTAATGGCTGCATAATAGATCACCAAATATTTATGCCTCAATTTATTTAACCAGTTTCTAATTGTCTATATTTGAATTATTTCTGAATCCTTGTCTATTATAGATAATATGTGATTGGATATTTTTGTTCTATGCCCATCAATATTTTTGAGTATCTCTTTAACATTAATGATGGTGAATATATCTGGAGTTACTTACTGTGTGCCATGCATGTGTATGAACTCTTAACTTGTATTAACTCATTTAATCCTCATGATAAGCCCATGAAAGAGATTTTTTTCACTCATTTGATGGATGAAAAAAATGTACATAGAAAGTATTTAGGGATGTGTCCTTTGGAACAGTCAGTCCCAGAGGCTGACACATTCCTTCATGGTTATGAGCAGAGGCTAAGAAAATTAAACCGCCTGAGTTTGAATCTTAGTTTAAATCTTATCCAATCATCTATTGGATAAACTACTTAGCTTCTCTCTGCTTCAGTTAAAAAATGTATAAAAGGGGGAGAATTATAGTACCCCCCCCACTGGGTTCTATGAGGGAGTACATGAGGAAATAGTGTTTAGAAAGGGCCCAGCACATGGTAAGGTAAGCTTTTGCTTTTGTAGTTAACTACTATTTTAAGATAGATTTCTAGAAGAGCAGTTAGCAGGGGAACAGCAAAGAGTGTTCCTGTGTCTGTATGTTTTTTTCTTCATGACCTTATCTATAAATATAGATAGGTCTATAGCACTATAAATATAAGTATGCATTTTTGACTTTGTTGTTGGAAAAGTTCATTGATTAAAATGATAAGTTAATTATTAATAAATTATCAACTAGACTAGAGTGCTAATGGGATTATAGAAACAGAATTGAACTCTGCCTTATGGAAGAAAACATCTCCCGTAGAAAGAGATTAAATACCTGAAGTCTGACCACGTGGATTGTTGAGTGAGTGACAATGGTCACAAAGAAAATGTAGTGACAGCATGTCCCATACTAAGAATGGGGTCTCATGGAGGGCACAGAGATGTCTAGGGAGCATGATCTGGGTTGGGACCACAGGCATGTCCCGTTTTCTAAACCCTGTGTTTATGTGGCAGAAGCTTTGGGTCATATGCCATGTGGTTTATCACAAAGACACATAACGTGAAGCCAATAAGATGGAAACCTCTGAGGGTGAGACAGGATAACAACCTCACTGTTGTGCTACTGTTTTATTTCTTAACTTCAGAAAGGAGAGGCTGACGCCATGAGCTTGGATGGAGGCTTCATCTACACAGCGGGCAAGTGTGGTCTGGTGCCTGTCCTGGCAGAGAACTACTGTAAGTGGAGGGGAGGTCCCTGTGCTTTCTTCCCTCTGGCCTATGGACATAGGAAGGTGAAGAATAATTTAGTTCAGTGTTGAGATAGCAATAGCTGTTTTTGGAGCATAGAGTACTAGTAGATAACATCTATTTTCCCAGAGTCAGAACCAGCTAAGATATATGTGGAACTTGGAGAGAAATCAAAATAACACCTTTATTGCTGGAAGAGTCATATTGGAGACCATGGCACAGAACTGGCCACAGGGCTCGTTAAATTGCCCTTGAGTTAGAGTCGCCCACCAGTTCAGGTAGACAGTTCTGGTTGACTGGCTCCATGGCTTAGTACAGAGGAAAACACGTTCTGTCACAGATAAGGAGGTCAAAACCATCCTCTCCCCATTCTCTTCAACGAAGAAAGAGCCACAGGTGCCTAGATCCTTTTGCCAAGTTTACTAATCCACTCTAATGGTTAGAACATTGAGGATTGGGGCTACAAGGTCATGGGCTTGGTGGGGATCCATCTACCAGGAAAAATAAAGCTGGTTCATTTGTTAAACCCCTAAGCTGCTAGGCAGTGAGAAACCATACTTTATCCTTCAAAACAAGACAACTCCGTGAAGTAAATAGTGGTATTTCCATAATAACTGAGGCTTGGGGAGGTTGAATGAGGTGTCCAAGGTAGAATGCAGACTGCAACCAGTCTTTCTGAACCATGGGCTGGATCCTTCCCTTACAACTTAGCAAGACTGTAATGACTGCCTGCACATCCCAGAGCTCTGAAAGGAAGAATGTCAGGATGCCTAGAATCACATAGCAAAGTGAAAAACCTCTGTAAAGGTTTGTATGGCTTCTGCTTCCCCCTCACCCCCTTCAATGAGCATTTCATTTTCTTTCTCTGTAGCTCCCCAAGTGTTGAGCTAATTCTGGGATGGAGGCTAATTTCAAATAGCAAAGGTCAGGGGAGAGGAGGTGAAATAGGATGGCAGGATCTCAGCTTGTTGATGACCAATTACAAACTGCTTGGTCAGCGTTTCTCCTCATTTTATTCTTGACTGTTTAGAGTGAGAAAATCATGACTTGAGTAATGTGAGAGTTTAATGACCTGTACCTCAATTGTTTTTAGTGTCTCAAGATGGCAAAGAGCAGCTTGGGTCTAAGTGTGTGAACACACCCATGAAAGGTAAGTCGAATCAGTAACACTGGGGCTCAAAGGTAAAAGCCTATTGTGGGGGAGAGGGGGTGAGGAAAGCCTTAGGAATAAACCAACACTTGTTAAAAAAAAAGAGAGAGAGATATGACCCTGCCACAGTTCACTGTGAAGGATCTAATCTGTTGGGAGCTGTGTAATAATTTCTGTTTGTGGAGCATGTGACAGTGGGCAGAGGGCTCCTGCTTGCACTGCTCCTGCTCAGGCGTCCTCTAGAATGTGGGTGTCTCTGTGTGCGTCACATAGATGGGAAAGTGAGGCTCAGGGACTGTGTGACTGGCCCAGGGCCACGCAGCCAGCAAGTGGCCGCACCTGGGCTTGTTCAGAGGCACCGTGATGGGAAACCCACTGCCCTTCCTGACCCACCACCATGCTCCCTGTTACAGGCTGCTACCCATCTCTGCAAGGGACAGGAGCCCATTCCTGACGTTTCTGGGGCCCAGTGGAGGCCTCAGAGGAGGAAGAGGCGAGTCATAGATGCTTCTAATGAAGAAGAGGAGGAGGGAAAGGAAATTAACCCTTAGCTTTTAGTGACTGGCTTTGAATAGCAGGGGAGTCAACCTCCTCTTCAGAATAGGAGGCCAGATGACAAGTTTTGCCATCTGTGTCATCTCATGGGCAGAAATGGTCTTTATCTGTTTCTGAGGTGCCCTGGGTAATCTAGGGCATTGACTAGAGCAGTGGTTGTGTATGTCATGTGGTGTCTGGACCAGTAACCCCATCATCACCTGAGAACTTATTAGAAATGAACTTTCCTGTGTCCAACCACAGGTCTGCTAAGCTCCAGGATGTGGCTGCTGCTCTCTATGTTTTAGCAAGCCCTCAGAATGATTCTGATATGCATTAAACTTTGAAAACTATTGTGATAAGGGGTCTTGAGATGAAAACAAGTGCTTACTTGGGTTTGGAATTTCTTATGAGATAGGAGAGCTAGGGGAGGTGTGGGGGCTTGAAGCATCACAGCGCAAGAGTGGGGTCACAGAGTCCCTGCACCACCCATCACCACAGAGGCCTCAGGGGTGCAAAGTCGCTCACCCCACAGCTTCTCCCCTTTGAAGGGAGCAAAATCTGGGATATAGTGTTCCTCTTTCCTCCCTGCTTTCCTGGCTAACAGTCTTCTCTGAATTGGGTCTGTATCCCTAACCCCAAGGGCCAGCATATAGTCATTCTGATTATAAAATACATGAAGTCCTAAAGAATTGTAATTGCTTTACGGGTGATTGAAATTTCCAAGAACTGCAGTGATAAACAAATGTGGGTCAGTGAGGATGCTTGGAAGACAGTTCAGGGTGACGGATAAAGTTAGATTGGACTAGAGATGGAGAGGAGTTAATCCCAAAGCCACACACACGCACACGCATGCACACACACACACACACACACACACCCCTCAGATGACAATAGTGAATGCCATTTTGTTGAAATTGTTACAGCTCAAAGAAAGTTACTTTAACAGTGTTTGGCTGCTGGAATGGTATCATAGAACCCAGTCTGGTAGGCAGGAGAATCTGCTTCACCAAGAAAGTGGCTCTAGTACTACTTCTGCTGCTAGCTACATAGCCAGAAACCTATCCATGTGACCTCCCCTTCCCATTCCTAATGTACAGTATGATCGTGTTAGCACATTTCATCCCCTTCAATAGGTATTAGTACCTAAATGGGTATTACTCTTATCATTTCATTTACGAGAGATTTAGGATCCTAGATACTGAGTGACTTGTCTGAGGTAGTTTAGTAACTGGTGAGGGAGGTCTTCCACTGCCATGTTAACTTCCAACTTTTCTAGGCTTGAATATATAGACATCTGAACCACACAGCAAGAAAAGATGTGTGTATGTGTGTTGGGAGTGGGTGGGAGTGGTGGTGGTGAACCACATTACCCATGATTTCAGTCTCTAAATTCAGCCTTGCAGTTTAGGCCTTACTTAACAAGCACAATTCTATTACACAATACTGTGATAGACTACATCAGATATCAGTGGTGTTCCTATAAAATCAGGAACAAGACAAGAATGCTCATGCTCACCAAATATATTTGGCATTATTTTGTGAGTGAATTCAGTAAGAGAAGAAAAAGTGTTTTTTTAAAAAATTAAGGAAAGGAAGAGATTAAATTGTCATCATTAGTAAATGGTATTACTATAAATCTCGAAAATCAGAGACTTAACTTTAAAAAGGAAGTCATTAAAGCACTTTCTTTTGGACTTCTACTCAACAGAAATACTCAAACAGGTGGCTTCACACAGTTCTCCCTCCCTGAGAGACTGACAGGTGAAGGTTAGCTGCAGTGGCTCTGGAGTAAATTTTAGGGCGGACCTGGGAGGTACTCAAATTGCATCTTGGTATCTGTTGCAAGGTTATTACGTCGTGGCAGTGGTCAAGAAGTCAGACGCCAACCTAACCTGGAACTCTCTGCGAGGCAAGAAGTCCTGCCACACTGCAGTTGGCACTTCTGCTGGCTGGAACATCCCCATGGGTTTCATATACAATCAAACTGGGTCATGTAAATTTGGTAAGTGTGTTCTGAGTGGTGGTGTGCCTATGGGCCTGTGCCTATGTAGGGGAGAAATTCAGTTCAATGAATGGTATAAGTGGGTGGTGGACAGGGCCTGGATATACACGTGGACAAGCTTCACATCTCCTTAGCAGGACCCCCCTTTCTCCTCCTCTCTTGCTTCTGCAGAAGTGGTTTGGCTCAAAGAGCAGATCTCAGGGAAACACATTACTCTTTATGTCTTTCGTCTGGCTCATGGAAGAGGCCAGTTGGCAAAACAAGAGTGGAGTGTAGAGTGGGTGTAAGTGTGCATGCATAATGTGTGTGGTAGTGTGCATGTGTTGTTTTCCCATTTAAACTTGCTCTCCTTTTTAAGTTTAAAACAGGTTTATTTGGGGAGATACACACATACACAGAGTGTGGACGAGAGACCTGAACTTACTTTCTTAATTGAACATGTTACACCAGTATGGTTCAGCTTCACCCTTTGAGTGCTTTAGCTTTCACTTTCACCCTTCACCTCTCTTACATTTCTATATTAGTCATTTCAGCAAGACTCTGGCCAATACCTAAAAGGCTCCTGCTCCTCCAGGAGCTTTCCCTAGCCATATGACAAGTCCCAGCCCTGCAGGAACCGCATCGCCCACTCTGTTGGCACTCTGCACCTGAGCAGCTGAACACAGGTGGAGAATGTCACAGGGCTTAGCAACTCATTCCATGCGGATGTTCCAGCCACTGGCCTCAGCATCACCCATACCGCCCCCCCTCCCACTGTAGGCTCACAAGCACCCCCACTGTTCCTCTGCTCCACTCCCCACACTTCCCAGTAATTACCCTAATGTCCTAGTTGTCCATACACCTCCATCCCACTCTCACCTGTCTACCACCCTTTCTGAGCAGATGATCTTGTCTGCTTCTGCAAGAGACACCTGAAGCCAAGAGGATGGTTCCCATCAATACCCCACCAACAAAGCCCAGGGCTCCTGCTGGCTGCATCTGTTCAGCCAGTCCTCCTACCCACTTGGCTGTTGGTCCCTGCCTTGACCCCCTCCCCAGAGCTGCACCCTCGGTTTCCATTTCTTCCTCTGGTATATGCAACAATTTCTCTCAACCTGTAAATGCACCCAGTATCAACCTGTAAATGCAACCAACATCTTTCATCTTTAAAAATCCTCCCTCTCCCTACCATCCCCTCTAGCTCCTAACCTTCTCCTTCTGCCTTTATGGCTAGACCTCTTAAAATCATGGTCTGAGCCATTCACCCCTGCACCCCCTGCTGTGGGTGACTCCCCTGCCTCATTCCACAGGGACAACTCTGGTCAAGGCTACCAGGACCTCCGTGTTGCTCAGTTGGAAGGATGAGCTCCAGTCTGTTCCTCCATGAAATTTCCTTCTTTGAGTCATCTTAAGGCACAGTCTCCTGGCTTTTGTGAAAACATACTAGCTTCTTTTTTCTCTTACCCCTACAAAGTCCCTCTTTCCCAACCTGGTTAATAAATGTTTGAGTTGCTTAAAGCAACTTTTTCCCCCACTTTAAACTCAACCTCCAAGCACTCACATCTATGCCTACAGCCTAGATGACCATCTAAACCAATATTATATGTGCAAAGCTAGGCTCAGAGCAAGCACTAGATCAATGTTTGCTGTTGTCACTGTTATTGTGTCAATATGCTGACAATGTCAGGTTTTGCCCCTAGCGCGGATTTCTCTCTGATCTCCAAACCTGCATATATTGAACTGCTTGTTTGACATTATCTAATCTTGTATTTCAAAAGTGCATTAAATTTAACCTGTACAAAATAGAATGCATGCTCTCTACCAAGCCTTGTCCTGCCCCAGAGCCACCCAGCTTGCTGGAGGTTCCCAGTCTGTGCACTGGCTCCAGCTGGAAACCAACCTGCCATCATCTCCACATACCCGTCCAGCATGAGATTTCAGCTGTCCTCCCTCCACCTAGCTCCTCCCTCTGCTTCATGTGACTCAAAGCTGCCCTCATGTCCCCTGGACTCCAGCAGGAGCCTGCTGCCTACACCCCACATCTGTCTTGACTCACGCTGCTAGACCCTTGGCCCAACATTATCTAGCCTGTCAGAGACTCCCCAATTCTTTACAAATAAAAAACAAAATGTACACAAAGATGTAGACCATCACATGTGGTCTGGACCCTGACCCTTCCCACTCACTGGATCACTGAGTGGCTCAGGCCCAGTGGGCCTCCATTAAGCTCTCTGTGCTGTTTGCCCCCCTCCCCAACCCTTGTCTCAGCCTTTGAAGATGCTGCTCCCTGTCTGGAAAGTGCATCCTTTGCCCTTCACTAGGGTAACCCCTATTCATTCTTCAACTCTCCACTTGAGACCTCTGCCTGACTCCTAGGTCTGTACCAGGTTCCTTTATTTGTAGCTGTGGAGCCATATTCTTTTTCCCAGAGCATGATGGGGAAATACAATTATGGGGAAATGCTAATTCATGGTGTAGTTACTTGAGTTGTGACTGTCACCCCATGAACTCGGGCTCCAGGAGGGCAGGACTTCTGTGGTTTCCTCATAGTGGTGCCCAGGGGCTCAGCACAGGGCTGGGCATTTGGGCCTCTTGGGCTCCTTCCTGTCTTTTCAGTCATAATTGCAGACCTTGTAAAGATGGACAAGGGCAGTAGAGATTGGAAAGCATGCAGGACAGGGTCAACCAACCAAAACTTGCACTTTTGTCCACTCTCCTGGAGTTAAATCCGTGTCCATCCCTCCCCCTGCTGCCCTGTGCCAGGGCTTCATTGAGCTCACAGACCCTTGTCCCAGCTTTAGTCAGGTCCCCTTTACTTTGCTTCAGCTGCAACCTTTTTTCTCTTTCTATTCCATAGGTTCTTATTTCTAATCAGATGGTACTAAACATTTAAATGTGTCTTTATGTCACTTAGGCAATTTTAGGGACAACATCTGAGGCTTTCTTGCCAACACAGGCAGGGAAAGCTAACCTCTGGTGTCCTCCTATGCAGATGAATTCTTCAGTCAAAGCTGTGCCCCTGGGTCTGATCCGGAGTCCAGCCTCTGTGCTCTGTGCAGAGGCAGCTTTAAGCCAGCCCACATGTGTGCTCCCAACAGCCACGAGCAGTACTACGGCTCCAGTGGGGCGCTCAGGCAAGTAGCATCTGCCCACTGCCTTTCACTTTGGCGCCAGCCCATTGAATCTTTTGTCCTTTCTCCTTTCTCAGCACCCCACCATCTGAGTGCTACATATAGGAGGGGCCAGGACTGGAGAACAGGAACTGCAGATTCCCAGGGGCCCTGAGGACTCAGGTCTGGCCCCTTCCTGGAGCACTCTTGGGCAGAGCTGGGGGACTCAGGGCACCTGGGGAGGGGCAAGAATGATAACACAGGTCATAGCCCTGCCTCTGCTTTCTATCCTTCCTTCTCTGTGACTGTGGACAAGTCAAAGGATCTTCCAGAGCCCAGTTTGAGGTCAAAGGAAGGACACTGGATATGTGCATTTTACACCTGTTTGATGAGTACATTTAAAAACACATATTCCTGGGCTCCTCCATTCATTCAATAAATATTTATTGAGCACGTAGTATGTGCAGGTGCTGTTCTAGGTAGGTGGGTTAGAGCAGCAGCAAGACATATGGCCCCTGTGTCTCATGGGGGGAGTAAGACAACATATAAAGGACGATCACTTCCTGACTGTGCTACGTGCCATAGGGTGTGTGTATGGGGTTGTGGGACCGAGGGGTGTGATATGGCAGTGACTCAGGGATAATCTTGGAAAAAGGGGTCAGGGAAGGCCTCAGCATCATGGAAGGGCTGTTAAATATTGACAGTTAAGTATTGAAAGGGAATCAGGAGAAAATCTGGAGAAGAATAATCCAGGAAGAAGGAACAGCAAGGACAAAGGCAAGGCTAGACAAATCATGCTGTGTTTGAGGCCAGAAAAGGCCCCAGAGTAGAGGTGGATCCAGGTGAGGGGAGGCTGGGGTTGCAGCCATTGGCTGTTTTGCCCTTGGAGATCTGGCTCAGGAGATAGAGTTAATTCTAAGTATGGAGAGCACTCGAGGGTGCTATGGAGTTGGGGTTGTGTGGAGAATGTGGGAGCCTCTATAAAGAAGGCTTCTAGTCATCACATGGCCAGATTACTTTGTCCCACCCTCTCCAAAGTTTTGTCACTTTCATAAACCATACATAAATTACATAGTTTCACAGATCCTACTACATAAATATATGATGAACATTAAACTGAGGGTAAAATATTTGAACTTTTCTTTCCATTGGGATGTGCATCAGTGTTAGGGTCCATGGCCCCATTTTGGTATGATTACGATAGCATCACAGAGACCTAGAGTTCTGTCCAGGACCATGGAAGTTCCATCGTGAAGATGGGGATGCAAAGAACAGTCTTAGATCTAGGCATCTCATTCTCCCCACCACCTCCTGCCTGCTTTGGCTGTGCTTCCAGCTTTCTGACTCCAGCATTCCTACTGACCTGAGATCCATTGATCCTGTTCTCACCCCCGCTATAAACTTTTCCCTCTCCAGTCCACAGCAGACATTCTATAGCTAACCGTGATAATTATTCCCCTGTGCACATCCTCAAATGCTTGTTGCCTACTCCTGGCTGAACTGCGACCTGGGTTGGGTCCAACATTCCCCTTTGGTGTGGGGTCCTCCAAACTGACTGGCCTCCGTGTAAAGTAATGAGAACCCAGTTCCCATGAGCCAGACCATCTCTAGTCCGTTACCATCCCTCTCTCTTACAAGACCATTCCATGCTCTTTCCTCTCCTCAGTCATCCAACGTTTCTTCCTCCATCTATCCCACTTTTGTTTCCTCCTTCACCTGAGAAAACTGAGGTCATCCAGATAGAAACGCCAGTGTACTACTGCCTTATCTGGGCATGTGCTAACCTCCGTGCCGGTGGGTATGCTGCCACTCCTCCGGGGGATGAGCAGGCCGGCTCCTGCTGACCCCGATCCTGTGCTGGCATCACCTCCCTGCAGCCTGTTGAAGAGCATTGCCCCAGCACGCCTCTGCTCTTCCTCCTGTGTCATCACATCGTATTCACAGAATTACTTCCAGCAGCACGCAGACATGCTGCTTCTTTCTCATCCTAAACATAAAGAAATAAGACAAACTTCTCTTGATCTCACTGTCCTCTGTAGCAACCTCCTGTTTCTTCTTTACAACAGAAGTCCTTGACTTAAGTCCTTGAAGGAGGTTATTCTAATGTCCTTGCTCAGTTCAGTTTCTCTCCTTTCAGTCTCCCCCAAACCTAGTTTAAGAAACTGTTCACCTCTCCCTCCCCAAACAGTGGAGTTGGTTTTCATTATTGCATTTAAATTATCTACAGAAGACATTCTTCCTCATTGTTGGTACATGGGAAGATTATTCCCACCACACTTACCGCTTGCCCCCACATTGACCCCCATCCACCACCATCCACCACACAGCTGAAACTACACTTTTAAAAAATATATTTATTTATTGGCTGCATGGGGTCTTCGTTGTGGCACGTGGGATCCTTAGATGCAGCATGTGACCCCTTGGTTCTGGCATGTGGGATCTAGTTCCCTAATCAGGGAGCAAACCTGGGCCCCAGCATTGGGAACAAGGAGCCTTAGCCTGTGGACCCCAGGGAAGTTCTGAAATCATCCTTTTAAATCACCAGGGACCTCTGTGTTGCAAGTAAATCCAAAGCCCAGATCATTGGCACCACCCATCTCTTCCTCCTCTTGGGTACATTATTCTTCTCTGGCATCTGGACACCACACTTTCCTGGATTCCCTCCTTCTTCTCCTGTTACTGCATCTCAGCCCCTTTGCTGGTTCTGCTTCATTCCCTGACCTCTACATATTGGCGAGCCCCAGGGCTCCAGCCTTGGTCTTGTCTCTTAGTGCCCAGACTTTAGTGGTTTTATCTAGTTCTTTTTGTTCAGTCGCCCAGTCATGTCCAACTCTTTGCAACCCCATGGACTACAGCACACCAGCCCCCTCTGTTCCTCACCATCTCCTGGAGTTTGCCCAAGTTCATGTTCCTTGCATCGATGATGCCATCCAGCCGTCTCATCCTCTGACGCCCACTTCTCATTCTCCATCTAGTTCTGTATGTTGACAATTCCCAAATTTATGTTCCTCTTCAGACAGCTCTTCAAAACACCAGATGAAACTCCAAACTCATACATCTAACTGCTTACTGGGCATGTCCACTTGGATGTCTAATCACCAGGTCAAGTTTAAATGTCCCAAACTGAGCTTTTGGAATTTCACATGCTCCCACCCAAGCCAGTACCTCCTGCAGTCGTCCCCATCTCAGTTAAAGGAAACTCTGTTTTTCCTTTTGGAAAAAATCAAAGTCTTGATGTGTATTAACCATATCTACTCTCTTTCTCTGAGACCCCATATCATCATATTATGTTAGCTCTACCTGCAAAGGGTAACGAGAACTGACCTCATCACCCATCTCTGCTGATACCACCTTGATCTAAACCACCATTGTCTCTCCCCGGATTATAACCCCTAACAGAAATCCATGTGTCTGTCCTATCCCCCTCCCCCACCACAGTCTAGCTTCAGCACAGCAGTGAGGGTGACTGTCAGCCCAGTTCAGGGGAAATCTTCCTGCTCACACAACTCATGCCCTGAAGTTGTGTTGTAAAGTCCTAGCTGCCTCCAGTATGACCAGGTGGATTGAAGGGGATGGGGAGGCCTAATCAGAACTCAAAAAATATTAACACTTGGTAGACCAAATAAGAGCCAAGAATTAAAAAACAATGTTACACAAAGGGAATTTTGTGTTCTCAGATATAAAAATCACATTACAGTGCTACTTAATACCGTGATCAGTACAGGCTGGTTTATGTGATGACTGACAAATCAGTGGAAAAGACTTCCAAAGCAGATACATAGACATATTATGTTTAGTCTAAAACAAAGATGACAATTAAGATCATTGGAGAAAGGATGGACTTGGGACATCAAATAAAACAAGTACAAGGAACTGAATCTGGTGACCCAGGCGGGAGCAGATTCAATAGTGAGTCAGTCCCCAAAGATGACTGGCAAGGGTCAGGGACTCATGTGCAGGAATGCTGATGATAAGTGCTATGATGCTCTTGGGTGTTTGCATGACTTTAGGGGAGAGGCCCATTGCTAAGGGCAGTGTAGGGTCAAGGCAAGGCTTAGCGTTTGTTTATTTTTTAAAAGAAGCATAAGTGCTGATGGAAAGAGCCCAGTGAAGAGGGTGGTAGAGGGGAAAGAGTATGACTGCCGTGGAAAGTGCTTGAGTGTGGGTCGAGGTGGGGTGCAGAGACCCTGGGGAGGAGACTTTAGCTGGAGGGAGGCCTTCCCTCCTCCTTTGTCCCTGGAGGGCAGGAGAGTGCTAGAGTCTTGGGCTGCCAGATTCAACAGAAGGATGCTGAAAGGAAGCCCGCATGATGATCTCTCTATTTCTTCTGCAAAGCCCGAGTGCATGACAGAGTCTAAGTGTTGTGGAGGGGTATATGGAGAGACAGAGGTTTACAGGAAGTGGGAGAACATTTTGGGGTCCCTGCTCTGTAGAGTGGCTTACCTGGTGGCTCAGACTGTAAAGAATCAGCCTGCAATGTGGGAAACGGGTTTGATCCCTCGGTTGGGAAGATCCCCTAGAGGAGGGCTCCAGTATACTGGAGAATACACTCTAGTATTCTTGCCTGGAGGATCCCCCTGGACAGAGGAGCCTGGTGGGCTGCAGTCATGGCATCAAAAAGAGTCATGCGGCTACTGTCTCAGGCAGTGTTCTCTCATACTCACTTGAGCACACTCAAGTGGGCTTATTCAAACCCAGAGGGCTGAACCCCATTCCAGAGTTCCTGAGCCAGTGGGTCCAGGGCCCAAGAATGTGCATTTCTAACCCGTTCCCAGGTTGCTGATGCTGCTGGCCCAGCCCACCCTTGGAGAGTCACAGGTCTAGAGTAGAGAAGGGATGCCAGAATGCCCGCGTGAAGTTAAGGATCGGGGAGCTCTCGTCTACCTCACTGCTGAGGTGCAGACACACCTGAGACAGACGATTGGGCTCATTCAGGACTGGGATTATTGGGGGGAGGTTGTTAAGACAAAGAAATAGGACAAGATTGCTTATGAAAATTGATGGGAGTAACTGATTCTAGTGAAGGATAGAGGGGCCTGATGATGGGACAGAAAAAACTGGAGAGGTGTTCCTAAAAATTAATAATATCAATTTCTAACTGACTGTTACAAAACTGATCTTTAATGTGCTCAACGTTTCTCCCAAAGCATGCACCTTGAACACTGAGAAACATTTTTCAGGAGATTAAGCATGAAAAATATCTCGTGATACATACACATTAACTTTTGTTAAGGCTGCGCAGACACATAAGGTGTGACAAGGCTCCTTCAGAATCACATCTTCCACGCTGATTTTAATCTCCCATGTGAGTTTTGATCCAGCCAGAGAATTATCTTTGGATAGCCCTGTTAATAGAACACAAGCGTCTCCCGTGGAGAAGTCAATCACTTTTTAAGGAAGCAAGAAGTGGGTATCTACAGTGGAATCTAAATAAGCAGATTTCTTTTTCTATGACATTTCTTCTGAAGTTTCCAGGGACAGCAGACATGACAGCAGTGTGTGTGGAGTAAGCGGGCCCAGTAGATGGGCCCAGTTGCCTGGGCGAGGGCGGGGAGCTCCCAGGGATTCCGTCTTGGAGCTGCTCTCTCCCACCTCTGTGGGTCCCCTTTGCTGACCTGACCTTCTCTGTGCAGGTGTCTGGTTGAGGAGGGAGATGTGGCCTTTGTGAAGGACCCCACAGTCCTGCAGAACACTGACGGTATGCACCTGCACTGTCCTTTCCTCCCTCAGGAAAACTCAGAGTCCTTCCTGGGAAATCACTCCCCAGGCAGTCACATTGGTCCTAGCATTCTTTATTTAGGGAATGAAAAAATTCTTCATCTCTGCTCAGACTGGACAGGGTTGGTTATCACATTGACCTTGAACCCAACCAACAAACACAGAAAGGCCACAGTCCATAGAAGCATGTCTGGCTGTCTTGATTTTTAGGCATTCTTTGTATTTTCTGGACACAAGTTTTTGTCAGCTGTATGTAATGCACATAGCTTGTCCCTCTTTGAAATTACTTGCCTTTCACTTTTTTTTTTGTCCATGCTGCGAGGCTTGTAAGATCTTAGTTCCCCACCAGGAGTTGAACCTGGGCCCAGCAGTGGAAGCCTAGAGTCCTAACCACTGAACCACCAGGGAATTCCCTGCTTTCTTAATAATGTCTTTTGATTAATATTCTTTTTTTTCTTGTTTTTTCATTCGTTTTTCTTTTTTTTGACTAGCACTTTTCAGGCCTGTTGAGGAAATCTTTGCCTTTAACAGGACTGACAAATGAATTTATGAGTTTATGAATGTTTCTCTTCTGTTTTATGGTAAAGGCTTTATTGTTTTGTTTGTGGCTTTGTGGTTCTCCTAGGCACTGGTGGTCAGTCACACCCCCCAGTGAGGGTGCCTTGACTGAAGCGATTAGCTATGACCTCTCCACCTCCTCTCTCTCCAGGAAAGAACCCTGAAGCCTGGGCGAAGAATCTAAAACACGAGGACTTCCAGCTGCTGTGCCTCGATGGCTCCAGGAAGCCTGTGACTGAGGCTCAGAGCTGCCACCTGGCCACAGTCCCAAGTCATGCTGTGGTCTCAAGGAAAGATAAGGCAGATTTTGTTCGCAGAATGCTCTTCAACCAACAGGTGTGGGAATTCAGTCCTCATCCCCCACATGAATGCTCAGCTCACTTGCAGAGCTGCACAGACACGCCCCAGCCCAGTTGCACACTCTTTCTCCCTGGGCAATGGAGCCTGCCTCTGATGAAAGTGGGAGGCTGGTGGCTGTGCTCACTTCTTGCTCTGGGGCTGTCTAGGGTATCCCAGTGGAAGAGTCCAGACACATGGGCATCTCAAGTGTCTCCCTGAGACTGAGCAGAGTCATGGTACCTCCTGGGCTGTTCTGTCCTGGAAATAAGGGAGTCAGCTCAGGTGCCCTTCCCACCAGGCAGGGCTACATGTGGGAAAGGTGGAACAGAGGTTACTCTGCCTGACCAAAAGAGGATCTCACTGTGTTTCTTGAAACTGGGCAGGCTGAGCACTGTTTTGGGCTTCATGAAAGTCAAAGAGCCAACATTCAGATAACTTATGACCTCTATAGGCAGCCAAAAAGGGCTGGCCATAGGGAATAGTGGCTGCCTGAATCAGAAGATCTTAAGGAACCCAAAGCCCCATCTGCCTTTTACCCTAGCGTACCTTATTCCTGGAGGAGCCCCAAATGAGTAATCTATATCTTAGCATAGGCTGTTGACACATCCTGCTTAAAGGGTGATGACCCAGAGGCTGCTGGCAACACAAGAGGCTCTTGGACTTGGGCTTTTGAAGGGATGGTTCCATCCAGGGTGAGCTGCCACCTTTGCTACAACGGAAGTGGACAAAGGAAGTGGTGGTGGGGGGGGCAGGAAGCAATGGAAATGATCAGTGTGTGGGTCAGGTTCAGAGAACAGAAGATGCAAGGTAGGAAGGGATCTGGTCACAGAAAAACATGTAAAGATGACTCAGAGAGTTGAAAACATCCACCAGTTGTTGCTGGGATAGTAATAGAGCAGTGAACTTGGGGCTCTTTCTGTTTACCAGTTGCTTTACATACATTGGGCTTCCCTGTATTCTTTATCAGATAGTAAAGAATCTGGTTGCAATGCAGGGGATGCAGGTTTGATCCCTGGGTCAGGAAGATCCCCTGGAGAAGGGAATGGCTACCCACTCCTGTGTTTTTGCCTGGAGAATTCCAGGGACAGAGGAGTCCATGGGGTTGCAAAGAGTTGGACGTGAGTGAGTGACTAACACTCTCACTTTTTGCATATATCATCTCAGTATCTAATGTAATTACCTCCATTTACAAATGAGTAAATTGAAGTTCAGGTGTTTCCACCTTGGTGCAGTGGGAGACAATCTGTGGTGCAAGAGGTGAAGTTTTGATCCCTGGATTGGGAAGATCCCCTGGAGAAGGAAATGGCAAACCACTCTACTATTCTTGCCTGGAAAATTTCATGGACAGAGGAGCCTGGTGGGCTATAGTCCCTGGGGTCCCAAAGAGTCAGACACGACTGAGCATGCACACGTACAACATGAAGTTCACTGAGCTCAGACAAGAGTTTTCTTAAGTCACACAATAGGAAAAGCTAGGGCCTGGCTTTGAACCCAGAGAACTTTTTGCCATTTTGCTCCAGTGCCTCCTAAGCTGTTGCTGTGTGCCAGGGTTGCCAGGCACTGGAGCTGAGCAGTCCAGCAGACTTGGGGCTTCTGATGCAGAACACGTGGCCTGGGCTGCTGGTCACTCGCTTTCTGTCTGTCTGTCTGACCCAGGAGCTCTTCGGAAGAAATGGGTTTGAATACATGATGTTCCAGATGTTTAAATCCCCAGCCAAGGACCTGCTCTTCAGTGATGATACAGAATGTCTGGCTAACCTTCAGGACAGAACAACTTACCAAAAATACTTAGGGCCAGAGTATCTTCAGGCTACTGCTAATGTGAGGCATTGCTTACACTCAGGTGAGTAGAATAAACACAAAGGAGTAGTAACATGTGCGTCAAGGCAAACATGTTTGTCTTAAGGATGACCTTGTGCCAAGACTGGGCTGGTACCAATAGGAGCATAAAGATTCAGAGGGCTTGCTCCTAGCCGCACAGGAGGATTCAGGCTCACCAGGAAAGCAACTCAATTAGGCAACAGTATAAGATACTACCTGAAAAGGCTGAAATGTTTGAAGGAGACAGAGGGTACAGTAGAACTACAGATCTTTTGCAAATTGAACTTGTTTACATGTCCTTTTCCATTTTCTTTGGCTACTAGAATGAAAATGTGTGTTAGCATTTCAGTGTAGGGAGAAGGTTGGAAATGACATATATATACCACTCACAGAGGACCAATTCACAAAGATTTTAAGTAAAATGTATAGATAATACTTTATACAATTTAATAGAAACAAAGTATTAGCACTAAGTAGGCCATTTCTACATATATACATATATAGAAATAGCACTAAGTATATCATCTCTATTTTTGTGTATTATAGAAATGGCACAGCTGCCTCAAAAAGAAATAAGTTGGAGAAATAAAATTAGACATGGAATAATCAAATTATTGGGAGTGTGCCTGAATTTTTGTTAAATTATATCATGTGTTAAAGATGAGGAGAGCAGGAGAGGAAAATGCAGATGTTTAAGAATAGCACTTTCTAAATTCCATATATATGTGTTAGTATACTGTATTGGTCTTTATCTTTCTGGCTTACTTCACTCTGTATAATGGGCTCCAGTTTCATCCATCTCATTAGAACTGATTCAAATGAATTCTTTTTAATGGCTGAGTAATATTCCATGGTGTATATGTACCACAGCTTCCTCATCCATTCGTCTGCTGATGGGCATCTAGGTTGCTTCCATGTCCTGGCTATTATAAACAGTGCTGCGATGAACATTGGGGTGCACGTGTCTCTTTCAGATCTGGTTTCCTTGGTGTGTTTGCCCAGAAGTGGGATTGCTGGGTCATATGGCAGTTCTATTTCCAGTTTTTTAAGAAATCGCCACACTGTTTTCCATAGCGGCTGTACTAGTTTTCATTTCCACCAACAGTGTAAGAGGGTTCCCTTTTCTCCACACCCTCTCCAGCATTTATTGCTTGTAGACTTTTGGATAGCAGCCATCCTGACTGGCATGTAATGGTACCTCATTGTGGTTTTGATTTGCATTTCTCTGATGTCCAACTAATAAAAATAAATGAAAAAAAAATTGTAAAAAAAAAAAAAGAAAGTGGAAAAAAAAAAAAAGAATAGCACTGACGTCAGATAGAGCGATGAGAGAGAAATTTTTAAAAAATCTTTATTATCTACCATTTACTTTTAGAAAATAGGAAAAGGATCGTGTTTAATAAGCACAGGCAGTACCTGATGATCTTTCTCTTATGTTACCTCTCACAGAACTTCTGGATGCCTGCACATTCCATGGAAATTAAAAACTGATCAAAGTGGGCAAACACAGAGATGTTCAGAGCCTGAAAATACAGTGGGGTTACATCCTCACTTGTCTGCCTGGTGGGTCTGTGTTAATATCACTCGTCATTATAATTATATACTGTAACTGATGCAAAAGTTGGAATGAATAAAAATTGTTGTGTCTTCTCAGAAAACTTCATGAAATGTTCTCAGATTTTTGGGGGGAGGGCAAGAGAATGATTTCTTTATACTACAATTGTGCTTGTGAATTTAGTATCTATTAAATTATATGTATTTTAAAGACCTCTACAAGACTAACTCAACTTCCCTGTCTATTCTTTGATTATTTTACCCAAGAGTCAACTCAGTTAAATTGAATTTAAGCAATAAATCTGTCTGAAGGGAGTCTGAGTGGTGATCATAAGTGTGCAAAGAAAGCGTATGCGCAGTATCAAGGACTTACATAATGAAAATAAAGAAGAAAAAATGAGTTTGTGCATTTTAAAAGTATATTCATGTATTTAAAATTCACAATTTCCGGTAGAATTAAACTCCTGATCAGATTAATTGAAAAATATCAAAGTTACTATAAAAATCCAATCCTACTATCCTTCCTCAGTCAATTTCCTGAAAATGTGATTTACATTTACTTAAGTGAGTTTCTTATCAGAGATTTTCCCATTTCTGTTATTACCATGATTCCAGCCTATGGTGGAATAAACACTGTATGGGAACCCAAATTATATACTATGGAGTACAGTTCGGTGTTTGGACCTCTGCCTCTGCCTGTGAAAGAGTAACCAGTACAGAATTTGCTTCTTTTCCATAAACAACTAAAAAACTGGGGGGAAATAGGTTGCACAAATGTTTTTAAACACTGGGCGATAATAGTGCAGGACTATATGATCCTTGAAAGAGGGCAAAGAAAAGTGGTGAGCACAGTGATGACCATAGCCTTTGCCTAGAGGAAATTTCCAGATGACAGCAAATGGAGGAGGAACCCACAGCAGCCCATCACGTTTGAGTTGAGGAACAGAGATAGGAGTTGGGGAAGCCAGAGTGACTGGAACTTGACGCATATGTCAAGAAATACATACTGGAATCTGCTTGAAATGCTTGGCCAGATACGAATCTGCCTGCGTGTAAAATGAAACTGAAGTCTGTCAGGCTAGGCAGAGAATGACTGTGAGAGATCTAGAAGTTGCACAATGCCCAGGGCTCCCATAAGACCAGGAATCAGTTACGGCCCTACCAACCAGTCTGAAGAGACCTCACTGAACACTTAAGCTTTTCACTGAAGGCAGCTGGGGTGAAACAGTGTAGATTAAGGCCTGCTCCATAACTGTCCTTACTGAGAGTGATACTAGCCCTAGTAGGATAAACCAGATCTGCAAGTCACTTGACTGTCCCCTAAAATAAACCTCAATATTCACTAAAGGAATACAACAACATCTCAACAGGATGGCATGCATAATATCTAGATGTGGCATGAGAAGATTGTAGGTTGTGTAAAGAAGCTCAAAATGTGACCTAGAGTCATCAAAAAATCAACCAATGGAAACACACCTAGAAACCACAGAGATGATGGTATTCAGACAATGAACTTTAAACAGTTGTAATAAACAGGTCTAAGGATTTAAATGAAAACTTGAAGGAGAATTTCCTGCATTCTAATGGTTAGGACTCTGCCCTTTCACTGCCAAGGGCCTGGGTTTGCTTACTGATCCGGGAACTAAGATCTTACAAGTCACACAGCCAAAAATAAATAAGCAAATAAATGAATGAGTGAATAAATAAATGAACATAGCAAAAAAAAAAAAACTGTTAGATTTAAAAAGGAACTGGTGAAAAATATCCAGTGGCAAAGTTTGTGTTTCGAGGAATTTGTTTATCTAAATTGTCTATTTTTGCCATAAAATTGTTCAAAATATTTTCTTATTCTTCTAGTATTTATGAGATGTATCTCTTCTTTCATTTTTCTTACTAGTAATTTGTATTTTCTCTCTTTTTTCTTGACTCATGTACCTATTGCTTTATCATTTTCTTGAGCTTTTCAAAAATGAATTTTTTATAAATTTTCACTACTATTTTTTAATCTTACTTTCTGTTCTTAGCCTTCCTTCTACTTATTTTTCATTTACTTTTCCTTTTTCTCTTAGATTCTTAAGGTGCAGGCTTAGATAAATGTTTAGAACATTTTATTTTTCTAATGCAGGCACTTAAAATTATAAATTTCCATCCAAGGACTACTTTAACTGCATCCCCTAGATTTTGATATGTTTATTTTCATTATCATTGAGGTGAATTTTTTTCTAGTTTTTCAAAGATTACTTCTTTGATCTGTTGGTTATTTAAAAGCTATTTTTAATTTTCAAATATTTGGCAATTTTACAGATATGCTTTTGTAATTTATTTCTATGTTTCAGGTATACTTTTTTTTTCCTAATAGATATTCTTAATTGCTTGGTATAGTTCTATAATATGTAGCTTAGTATTATAAGTAGCAGTTAGGTCAAGTTGGTTCAAGTTATTATTCAAATCCTCTGCCTTGACTCATTTTCTATCAACTTTTTGCATTAGCTACTGAGAGAAAAGGGTTAAACTCTCCACTAAAAGTATGAATTTGCTCATTTCTCCATGCAGTTTGATCAGATTCTGCTTTATATATTTGGAGGTTTTGTTAGATACATACCCATTTAGGATGTTAGGCTTTCTTGATTAATTGACTCTGTTACCATTATGAAATGTCCCTAGTTGTCCTGTAACACTTTTTCTCTTTGAGTTTATTAATTGGATATTAATATGACTCTTTCTTCTGATAGTTTTTTCTTGGTTTATTGTATTACATTCTTTTACTTTTAATCCATGTTTCTTTCTATTAAGGAGGGCTTCTTATAAAGAACATATAGCTTTTTTTTTGTTTTTCAGGGTGTTGCTGCTATTTGAGTTTCCATTGATTGACTATCTGTAAAGTTAACACCCCTTTTTCTATATGTATTTCTTTAGCAAATTGTTTACATCATTATTCCATGGAGTGTTTCTTTTTTCTTATTAAGGTCTGAATGCCTTTTATATATTAAAGATATTAATATATCAAAGAACAGATGTTTTTACCCAATTCATCACATGCCTTTTAACTTTTTAATAATGCTTTTTTTGCTGTACCAAATGCAATCTATTTCTTAAGCCTTTTTTCTACCACTTTCCTCTGAATTCCTACAGTTGATAACATCTTTAGAGGTGTGAGCTTTAACACTCATTGCCATGTTTCTCCCAAGGGCTTCATTTCTAAAAATGACTTTACAACATGTGGAAGAAATCAAGAGGCTTTGATTTTTCCAGTTTGTGGATAGGAGACTGAGCCACAATGACCAATGGATTTTCTTGTGTCACTAGAGAAACCACAACCTAAGAAACCAGATCAAGAACACCCAATTCCACAAAGTAGGGATGGCAAGCCAACTTCACCTCCTCTGACAGTATCGCTCTACTGGTCCTGGCTGTCCTCGATGTTCTATGCTGATGCCTAACAGCTGTGTGGGCTTCTGTGCTGAACTAACTGGCCACCAGGGGTAGGTGGAGAGCATGTGCCTTGAAAACTGCCACAGGGGCAGAGAGTGTGTCCAGACACTGTGAGAACGGAAGGGGTGTTAATGATAATTGTGTTGAGACAACAGGAATAACCTGGAATCATTCCAGGCAGAAGGAATGTATGGCCATCCTGGGCATAGGGAACAACACAGTAGAAGAGGGGAAGTGAAGTGAAAGTCGCTCAGTTGTGTCCAACTCTTTGCAGCCCCATGGACTGTATAGTCTATGGAATTCTCCAGGTTAGAATACTGGAGTGGGTAGCCTATCCCTTCTCTAATGGATCTTCCCAAGCCAGTAATCAAACTGGGATCTCATGCATTACAGGTGAATTCTTTACCAACTGAGCCACAAGGGAAGCCCAAGAATATTGGAGTGGATAACATTTCCCTTCTCCAGCGGATCTTCCCAACCCAGGAATTGAACAAGGGTCTCCTGCATTGCAGGTGAATTCTTTACTAAGTGAGCTATCAGGGAAGCCCTGCTATCAGGAAAGAGGGGACCAAGGCCCAAAAAGCTTACAGAAAGATCATGGTTGCACAGCTGGTAAATGCAGACCTGGTGTAGGTCTCTGTGCATTTTCCATCATGCCTCAAAGCTACTGCTAACCTACTGTGCACCTTTGGTGAGTCTCCCTTAGGAAGCATTACTATGAACTAAGCTAGTGGAGGTGACAGAATTCCAGCTGAGCTATTTCAAATACTAAAAGATGATGCTGTTAAAGTGCTGCACTCAATATGCCAGCAAATTTGGAAAACTCAGCAATGGCCACAGGATTGGAAAAGGTCAGTTTTCATTCCAATCCCAAAGAAAGGCAATGCCAAAGAATGTTCAGACTACCGCATAATTACACTCATCTCACACAGTAGCAAAGTAATGCTCAAAATTCTCCAAGCCAGGCTTCAACAGTATGTGAACTGTGAACTTCCAGATGTTCAAGCTAGATTTAGAAAAGGCAGAAGAACCAGAGATCAAATTGCCAACATTCACTGTATCATGGAGAAAGCAAGGGAATTTCAGANCCAACATCCTTTGGATCATAGAAAAAGCAAGAGAATTCCAGAAAAACATCTACTTCTGCTTCATTGACTATGCTAAAGCTTTTGATTGTGTGGATCATGACAAAGTGTTGAAAATTCTTAAAGAAATAGGAATATGAGACCATCTTACCTGTCTCCTGAGAAACCTGTACACAAGTCAAGAAGCAACAGTTAGAACTGGACATGGAGAAACCAGTCTAACAATGGTTAGACTGGTTCAAAATTCAGAAAGGAGTACATTAAAGTTGTATACTGTCACCCTGCTTATTTAACTTATATGCAGAGTACATCATGCAAAATGCCAAACTGGATGAAGCACAAGCTGGAATCAAGATTTCTGGGAGAAATATCAATAACCTCAGATATGCAGATGACACTACCCTTATTGCAGAAAGTGAAGAAGAATTAAAGAGGCTCTTGATGAAGGTGAAAGAGGCTTTAAAACTCAACGTTAAAAAACTAAGATCATGGCATCCAGTCCCATCACTTCACGGCAAATAGGTGAGGAAACAATGGAAACAGCAAAAGATTTTATTTTCTTGGGCTCCAAAATCTCTGCAGATGGT